GTTGTGGAACAAGTAGATGAATTACAAATCATCTTCTACAACTTGGCGGGAGAAGATATCATGGTAAATGAACGGTTCCAGGTGGCAACTCTGATTGAAAAATTGCCTCCCTCCTGGACGAGTTTCAAGAATGACCTGAGACAAAAACCTAAGGACATGTCTTTGAAGGATTTACATCGTCGTGTGAGAATTCGGCAGGAGTCTCAACCTATTCTTAAAATGAATGGGCAGTTTGGATCCAAGGCAAATGTCGTTGAGACGACTAAGGCCAAAGGGATTAAGAAGTGGAAGATTGATAAGAATGTCAACTCCAAGAAATTCAAGGGGAATTGCTACGTCTGTGGCAAGACTGGACATCTAGCGAAGGACTGCTACCATCGCAAGGAAGGTGCCCAGAAGAAAATTGGGAATAAGACCCAAGCTCATGTAGCTGAAGTAGAAGATGGGGAGTCTGAATTCGTAGCAGTTGTGTCAGAAGTGAACATGGTCGGAGATAATCCGAGAGAATGGTGGATTGACACTGGAGCAACCCGCCACATTTGTGCTAACAAATGGATGTTCACCACCTATGACACTGTCACCGGAGAAAGCTGCTATATGGGAAACTCTGCTGCATCCAAAGTGGAAGGCAAGGGTTCAGTCATTTTGAAGATGACATCAGGAAAGAAGCTGACGCTCACTGAGGTTCTTCATGTGCCAGACATTCGCAAGAACCTGCTCTCTGGATCTGTGATGTCAAAGAAAGGCTTTAAGCTAGTGTTTGAATCTGAGAGAGTTGTAGTGTCAAAAGATGGTGTGTATCTGGGTAGAGGTTATCTAGCAAATGGTATGTTCAAGATGAATGTAATGACCATTTGTAACACCAATGCGGCAAACAATATAACCGCAAATGATATTAATAAAGCTTCTACTTCTTCTGCTTACTTGATTGAGTCAAGATTATGGCATGGTAGATTAGGATATGTGAATCCTAAGACTATGCAAAGATTAATGTCTTGTAATCTACTGCCAAAATTTAAATTAGACAAAGACCACAAGTGTGAAGTCTGCGTTGAAGCGAAATTTGCTAAGTCTTCGTTTAAAAATATTGAACGAAGTACTGAACCTTTGGAATTGATACATACAGATGTATGCGATTTGAAATATGTGCAAACCAGAGGCGGAAAGAAGTACTTCATTACTTTTATTGATGATTGTACTCGGTATTGTTATCTCTACCTAATGAGAAGTAAAGATGAGACAATAGAGATGTTTAATCTCTATAAAAACAAAATTGAAAATCAACTTGGAAAGAAAATCAAAGCTTTGAGAAGCGATAGAGGAGGTGAATATGAGTCACCTTTTGCGCAATTGTGCGCAGATCATGGCATCATCCATCAAACTACAGCCCCATATACGCCAGAACAGAATGGCATTGCTGAACGCAAGAATAGAACGCTGAAAAAGATGATGAATGCTATGTTAATAAGTTCTGGATCTCCACAGAACTTATGGGGGGAAGCAGTGATTTCTGCTAACTTTGTATTAAACAGAGTGCCCCATAAAAGGCTCGACAAAACGCCCTATGAGTTGTGGAAAGGCAAATCACCTAGCTACAAATACTTGAGAGTATGGGGTTGTCTGGCTAAGGTTCCTATCCCTATTCCTAAACGAACTAGGTTAGGACCAAAGACAATAGATTGTGTGTTTGTTGGTTATGCACACAATTCGAGTGCTTACCGATTCTTGGTGTATAAATCAGATAATTCTGAAATACATGCGAATACAGTCGTTGAATCAAGAGACGCTTCATTTTTTGAAGATGTATTTCCCTATA